GCCATAACTGGACACCAGCACGGCCCATTGTGTGGTGGAAGGCGCTCTGTCGACGGTCGTTAATGTGCGCTGTCCCCTCCTCACCTGCTTGGCAAGTGTCCACTGAGCACCTACTGTGTGCAGGACCCACGGCCAGACCTGCTTTGGTTGAAGCCTGTGTAATGTTTTGCAGACTGAAGCCCTTTCCAGGGGAGAGTGGATCCCCCACCCCCCATTCTGCCTGTCCTGAGCACCCTTAGACCAGGCCGTGGTACAGAGCAGCGGCGCTGGGAATGGCGCTTTCATTGGCTAGGATGGTAAGGAAGCCTTCTTAGCTCGCCAAGACGTTGTCATGGAGACCCCTCTCTCACTGCCACCCTCCTTCTTCCTGTCTCTAGGGAACAGGGTCCCCTGAAGAAGGCCAGCAGCTCTGCGGGGGCTCAGGATCTCTGCATTGCTGGGGGAACTCACCTTTTGGGGACTCTGAACCATGAAAAGAACGACCAAGCCCAGTTGTTGGAGAGGCTCGGACCCTCAGGGCACTCTGTCCCACAGGGATGTGGCAGGTTCCCTGCAGCAGGGTTCCCTGCAGGACAGAGGGACACAGCACCCTGGCAGTTCTGAGCCTCCCAGCTCCCCTGGGGTCTAACCGCTTCACAAAGGGGACCTGAAGGTTAGGAAGTTCTGGGGGTTGGGAGCAGCTGGCTGGGCCCCCCAGAGCCACAGATGGTGGCCCGGAAAAGCCAGCCTGACCACAGCCTGAGGTGACAGCATCCTGTGGCCAAAAGCTCAGCCCTGAAGCAGCTCCTGGGTGTGGCTGGACTGGCTGACAACAACCCGGGGCCCGAGGCCTGGCTGCTCTAAGCCTAGTGCTGAGAAGGAGAAAAACACCCGTCCTTTGACTTCCTGCTAGACCTAGAGGCTGGCCCGGGGTCCTCAGCCTCTCTGCGTGGTACTGGAGTGTGCAGATGGTGTGAGCGCGTGTGCACATCCACGCAGGTGTCACTGTGACTCTGTTGTTTGGACACCTTACCTGTTTGCAAGGCTCCCATCTGGGCCTCAGTCTCCCCAGCTGCAAAGGAAGAGGTAGGCAGCATGGATTAACCCCCCCTCAAGCCCTTCTGACATTCTGGGAGCCCGCTGTCGTGCCAAGGGCCAGCCTGGACACTTCTGCCTCCCTCCAAATGCCAGCAAGGGAGGAAACTCGAGCTCCCTGGAACGGAGTGTCTTACTGTGACTCATTGGATCACAAACAGTTTGATAAGCCGAGGGATGCGGAGGGCATGCCCGCCTGCTTACCTCATAAATGAGGCATCAGATGTCCACAAAGGTGTCTTTGAGTAAACAGAAGCATCTTTCTGGAGGAAGGGCTGTGTCTACAGGCCAGGCAGTGAGTCCTGGGGGATGGCACTGCCAAGATGGCGAAGACGAGGCCACTGCACGTGTCTAGTGTGCTCTTAGGCAAGCCTGGGGTCGGGCAGGAGTGTCTCGCAAAGACCTTAGGGCAGCTCGGCAGGGAGAAGATGTGGCCTTTGAGGGGCCCAGTCGCCCCATCGACATCTCTGAGGCCAGGCTCAACCCAGGGCCTGGACTCTGGACCTCTGGAGCAGGGTCAGGACCAGCTGCAGCCACCTCAGCTGCCCGGCAGGAAGCAGAGGCCGTGGGAGGCAGGTGTGCAGAAAGCGGCGGGGCCTCGGGTACTTTCCTTCATCTCAACCAAAAGCCTCCACTCCCACCCCCTGTCCCCGTACCTCGGCCCCTCTTCAGGCCCAGTGCAGGGACCCACAGTGTCTCTTTCACCCACGGAGGTGCTGCTCCTGCCTGACACAAGACCTCAGGGCTTCTCTCCCTTCAGGGTCTGGGTCTGTTCCACGGGAGGGTGGATTCAGCCCCAGAGGAACGGTGGGGACAAGAGCATCTTCTCCTTGGAGAGCCTTGGTTTTGTTTTTTGCACTGGACACTGGACGGGGAGTGGTCGTGGGGTTCCAGGCCCTGAGGCACCACCTTCCTCCCTCCTCTTCCTCTTTGCCAGAGGCAGTGCCTTCCCTGTGACCTCCACGGACAGCCAGGCCACATGCACGCAGAGCTCCCTGTCCCCTGTCCCGGATTCACACTGGGCTCCAGCCAAGGGCCCTATTCCCTGGGCAGCCCCAAGCAGGGTCTTGGTGGCCAGGGGCAGCCAGGGAGTAGGGTGATCCCAGTGGGCACCTCCCACATGCGGGCTCCACCCACCACCCCACCCGGGGCGTAGGCTTACTCTAGAGATGGAGAGAAGCAGGCCAGGGGTTGTGCTGGGGATTGTCCCATGGGAAGGGAGGCCAAAGACAAGAGGGTGAGCTGGAGGCCCAGAGGGTGGGGGTTCTTGGTATGCAGTGAGAGGGAATGAAGGCTGGGGACTCAGGACTCCCTTGGTGGTGGGTGGTTGGATGGGCCTTGTCCATGTCCTGGGAGTGGGCAGAGGCATCTGTGCTCCTGTCTGTGCAGAGGGGCACCTGGACTCCAGGTCCAAAGGCCTGCCCTCCTCTGCTATGTAGGATTGTGGGAATCCTTGGCCCCAGTCCCGGCTCTGCTAGAAATCCTGATGGATCTTGGCTTTGGTAAAAGTGAGGTTCCCGTCCCCAACCCAGTGCGGACCCAGATGGCATCCTGAGTAACGGCCTCCGCCTGCAGAGTGAGGAGGCAGAGGGCAGAGTTGCTTACAGGGACTTGTAAAAGCCCCATTCGTTCTCCGAGAGAGACGCACTCCCTAACTCATGCTGGAGCGCAGAGGGATGATTTTTAATAAGCTGGCCCTTTCGGGGCCTGAATCACTGTAACGGCAGGCACAGGGCAGATTTACGCGCAGCCCACCCTCCGCTGCCTGCCCTCGGCAGCCTCTTGTTTGGGAGACAATTTGTTGCTTTGGCTTGTTTCTTGGGCTTTTCTGAAGCAGAGGCCTGAGCTCGAGCTTCTTGTCTGCTGAGAGAAGCCAGAGCACAGCGGCGTGGGACGAGGGCTCGAGGCTCCTGTGGCCCGATGAGGACCAGGCCAGCTTTCCCTGTCCTCAGCCGGCCTCTCAGTGAGGCCAGGCCCTACTGCTGCCCAGTCACTGGCCCTGTCCTAGACAGATGGGAGAATGCACTCCTGGGGTCTCCCTTCCTGGGCTGGGAACCAAGCACAAGAAAGTGCACGCTGGGGTGAGACTTGGACATCTGGTGTGCACTCAGAGTATCAGAGGAAGCTAGGAGTCTGCCTCAGTTTCCTAATCTATGAAACAGGGTCTTCATTTTCCCAGCTCAATCTGCAGGGCTGTTGTGGGGACCCAATGGGGCCATGGGGGTCATAGGCTCTGCATACCTGGTCCACAGGTGGGATGATGCAGGGACAGAAGGGAGCTAGGATCCAGGTGTGGGTCCTCCCTCACCCTGCTCCTTTGCACTGATCATCAGTGGTACCTCTGGTAGAGTTGAGGCCTCACGCTATATGCCCCACTCCCTGGGGAGTCTGATGTAAACATTTCCCTCCCTGGATCAAGCCTTAAGCTTCCCCTCTTGGCCATCTCTGGTGTCCCCACCCTCAGGCCACTTCCTCTGAGTCTCAGGAAACAGCTGTTCCTTCCAGATGTGCCCCGGCCAGGCCAGCGGTCAGCCCGTGCCCGTCAGCTCTAGATGGCCCTGCTGCCTTAGAGCGTCCTGTGGGTTTCACTCCTCCTGTCCCTTCTCCCAGGCAGCAGCAGCCCCATCTGTGGAGAGCACGAGGTTCCCACCACCCGCTCTTCCTGAGCTCTCCTGCTAGCCTGGGACCATCACCCACCTCTCGCCTGCCTCCAAGCCACCTTGCTCACTTTACCCAGCAGCCCAGGCCTGGGGGCTCCTGCTCCCTGTGAGTCTCTGTCTTCTCTTAGGGACCTTCCCCTTTCCGGACCCTCCAGGGGTGAGGTGTCGGTGGCCTCCTCCAGGGCCCCTGGAACCAGCTCTTCCTGTTGGTCGTTGACTGCCAGGACCCCATACCTCTACTGGCTCCTGACTCTGCTGTTCTCCAAGCATTCCTTGGAGATGTCACACATGGGACCCCTCACCCTGGTGGGTCCTGGCCTGGACTCACCCTGCTGGACGCACCCCCATGTCCCCGAAGCTAAGTGCAGCCAGGCCTCGCCTTTTCTCGTGTGTTGCTTGTGTGGCCATTTCAAGGGGCAGAAAGAACTCTGGTTAATGCAAGCTTCCTGCAAGCCAGGCAGAGGAAGGACACCACTGGCCACCTTCACAGTCAGTGTTTCACGAGCTTGGCAGAGCGCAGGTGTAAGGCCAGCGAGTCCGGCCCGCCTCCTTCCCGCTGTGCTCTGTGGCTTGGCCTCTGTGTTCCAATTTCCTTACAGGAAAACCAGGGATGAAGCAGGAGGCAGGCTCAGGGAACACGTGCAGAGGCTACAGTGAGGTGTGGCGATGCCTGACCTTGGCAGAGCCCGGGAAGCCCTGGCTACCAGCACAGTTGCCACTGTCAACACATCATCAGGCACCACCTTGCAGTTCCAAACGCTGCCCCTTAAGAGGAGCTGGCGTGCTCAAAGCCATGGGCACTCCAGGGCTGAGGAGCTGACCCCAAGCACAGTCGGCCCCTGGCTGCACCTAACCCTGCATTCCTGGGCATGGTGACTCCACACAGGGTAGGACTGGGGGGGCGGGGAGGAAACGTGGTGGGGCCCAGAGCATCAGATGCAGGGAACAGCCCCTACCTTAGGGATGGCTATATCTCTCCCGCCACCTGCCCTGGTCCTTCTCTTCTACCTCCCATGGGCAAACCACCATCTTGGAACTCCCATACCTCCCCAGCCCTGTCTGTACCCCAATCCTCTTGCCTCCCCAGGGATGAGCCAACCTCAGGGCCCCCTCCCTCCCCAAGGATGGGCCAACCTCAGGGCCCCTCTCCCTCCCCAGGGATGGGCCAACCTCAGGACCCCTCTCCCTCCCCAGGGATGGGCCAACCTCAGGACCCCTCTCCCTCCCCAGGGATGGGCCAACCTCAGGACCCCTCTCCCTCCCCAGGGATGGGCCAACCTCAGGACCCCTCTCCCTCCCCAGGGATGGGCCAACCTCAGGACCCCTCTCCCTCCCCAGGGATGGGCCAACCTCAGGACCCCTCTCCCTCCCCAGGGATGGGCCAACCTCAGGGCCCCTCTCCCGCCAACACCAGTGGTGGATGAGGAGCTCTGGCCTTGGGCTTCTCACACCTGGGCTCTGGCTGCTCCTTTCCCTGCACACGGTGATATTCCTCTAGTCAGCCTAATGAAGGACTCACAATGGGGTGAGGAGGCTTCTGGAGCAGGCAGCTGGCAAGCTGTCCTGGGCAGCAGAGAGGCCCATCCAGGGGAAGGAGGGCAGGGACTCACAGCTGAGGACCACGGTTCCTGCAGCTCAGGCTCCTGCCAGGGACCCCCATCTGTCCTCTATGGTTAGACTCCAAGTCATGCTTGGTCTTTGTTCCTGTGTCTTTTCTGCCTGCTGGTGGAACCCAGAGGGGTCCCCAAGGCTGGGCTGCGTCTATTGATCAAATTCAGAGGCCTGTGCTTGGCAGTTGGCTGCTCATTATTCGCTGTGGCTCTGTGAGCAGCTCCGCGGGTGGGCAACGGTCCCTGCCAAGAATGTGAGGCACTGAGAGGTTTGTGGCTTGCAGGAGGCCACACAGCCCATTCCAAAGGCCCCTGGGATGCACACAGGCCATACCCCAAGTTTATGGCAGGGAAGCGAAGCTGGACACCAGGGAGGTGATGTGGTTTGCCCAAAGCCATGCAGGGAGGGACGGGTGGGGCTGGGCGTGCGTGGCTCTGCTGCGGCCTCCCGCAGGGCTGCCTGCCTCGAGGGTACCCAGCTTGGCTTCCCTCCCTCCTGGCTGCCCGCTGGGCTCCTTCTGCTCCGTCAGGGCGCACTCCCGGCTCTGGCTCCCAGGGGGCGCTGAGGCCTCACGGCTGGCTTTCTGCCTGCCCAAACCCTGAAAAATGCGGCGTGTGCTCTGCAAACTCACTGGTGCTGTGTGTGTTTTTCCAATCAATAGAAGATGCTCAGTCCCCGAGATGTCGCTACCAGAGTCTTCACACATCTGCATCGGAAGGATTCCAAGTGAAAAGTCTTTTCCTGTTGGGGTAAAAAAAATGCAAAAGGAGAAAAGGAGAATTTGCCTAACAGACTAGAAAATTTCCACTTCCCAGCGTCTGAACAAAGTATTTGTGCTTCTGGTGCCCAATTACGCAGGCTGCAAAAGGATAGGCTGGGTGGGTTTCCAAGCTCGCTGTGGTGCTCAGCGAGTCAGTCCCGGGGGGGAAATCTGTGTGTGTTTCTGGGTGAGGCTGCAGGTCCCAGCCACAGGCCTGGGAGACCGGGGAGCCGCTTCTAGCCCCACTTTCCACTTTCGTTTGACCTTGGAGAAGGTGCTTGGCCCCTCTGAACTCAGCCCTCCCGGCTATAAAGAGATTTTGTTACGTTCACATCTCCAGGATGCTGAAAAGCCCAAAGCATCCAATCTAAAACATAAACCAATTCATAGCTTTATACTAATGTGGCATTTTCAAAGTGCCTTTGAAGTCCGAATCTGCCTGGTTTCCTAATTGGCCCTGGTGAGTGGGGAGAGAGCTGCGCCCCGGAGCTCACAGGGGTGAAGGGCGATGCACTGGCTCGGCTGTCAGCTATAGAAAAGGGCCAGCGGAGCTGCTCCTGCTTGGTGCCAGTGGCCTGGCCCTCGGTGTGGGAAGCCTGGGAATGGCCACGGAGAACACAGGTGGGAGGGGCCGGCCTTGGCCTCAGGCATCCAGCCCAGTGGAGAACACTTGCGGCAGATAGGACTGTCCCACAAGCCCAAATTGGTGCCCCGCTGCGGGGAGATGGCAGCACCCACTGCTGAGCTGCTGCCGGGAAGCCAAGGCCATGAATGGTGACGGCCACTGTAGAGCCAGGCTTCGGGCCTGGGCTGCAGAGCTCGCTTCCCCCAGCCCGGGAGTGTGAGAGGCGCTGGCTCTGGGAAGTCTTTTCCTTCTCATGAGCACAGGGGAACTCATGGTGCTCTTGCTCCCGGCCTGGGTCCTCCTCACCTCAGAGGTCACTCAGGCTAGAAACTGGGACAGCTCTTCCTGGCACTGTCTCCTGGCTTCCTATCCCTTCCAGCCACCGCCAAGTCCTGCCAATTTTATTCTGAATGTCTCTAGATGGTGCCCAGCTGCTGCTACCCGGGTCCTGGCCACTATGGTCCCTCCACAGGGACAACAGCAATCCCCTCCCCACCTTGTCTCCCTGCTCCCACTCTCTGCTCCTCCAGTCCCTTCGCTAGTGATGGCTAGGCTTGTTTTATGAAAACACAAACACCGATGGCCTGGCTGGCCTCAGCCCCAGCCCCTCTCCCCACCCACAAGGCACCTGCTTTTGCTCACTTGGTGTGCTGAGGGGCTTGCTTTGCTTCTCTGCTCAGCCTCGCTGAGTGCGGTGGGTGGAGGTGGGGAGGGTCTTGCTCTGCTTCTCTGCTTTTTTTGCTGCCTGCCCCCTGAGGTTGACAGCTCCTGGCAGGTACTAGGTGCTCATTAATATCCTGCCTGCCTGAATCAGCTGGCATTTGGGCGGGGTCTTCAGTCCAGAATTGTGAAATGAGGAGACAGCATGGAGAGGGAGGAAGGGGTTGAGGCAAAGGCTGGAGAGCAGGAGGCATGTGCAGGGTGGGCAGGGGGTGGGGGAAGGGACGGGAGGACAGAGCTGGACCCCTGGGCCCCTGGGGGGTCTGCATCAGGTCAGGGAGAATGAGTCGGGGGCTGCAGTAGTGGGACCTGGGGCGGCTGGCCTGCTGGGCTCAGTGCAGAGGGCTCTCTACCCACCCAGCACACAGCGACGGTACTGGATCTGGAGCTGCTTCCAGAAACTCATCTCTGCTCTGCCCTCCCAAGCCATGTGACTTGAGGGGAAGTCACTGGGCCCTGCATCCTCAAGGCAACCAGGTCTAATAACCCCTGGCCTGAGCAGATGCTTGGCATGGAGTTTGAGCTCAGGCAGGAACTGTGAGCGCTCCCAATCTGTGCTTCTGAGAGCTCCCTTGGGAGCCCCAGAGTGGAGGCAGGGAGGCCAGGGGCGAGGCTGATCCCCTTGTCCTTGGGAGGGCTCAGGCAAGGGCAGAGGGCACTCACTCGAGGAGGTGGGGCATGGATCCAGAGGTGCTCTGTCCTCCTGGAGAAGGAGAGAGTGTGAGCAGTTCCCCAAAACACATCTCACTTTCAAGGATGGGGCTACATGGCCTCTGCAGCCCCTCCACCCACTGTCCTGGGGCTTCACTCATTCCCAGAAGCCTGGCAGGGAAGCAAGGAGGGGCCGATGCAGGGCTGAGCCCCTACCTGTCCTATTGCATATCCCCAGCTCTGTCGGGTATAAAGGTCTCTCAGCTGCAGCATCCCAGCTCCACCCTGACCCCGGCCCATCTACCCTGACCCCAGCCCATCCATCCTGACCCCGACCCATCCACCCTGACCTCGGCCCATCCACCCTGACCCCGACCCATCCACCCTGACCCCGGCCCATCTACCCTGACCCTGGCCCATCCACCCTGACCCCGGCCCATCTACCCTGACTCCCGCCCATCCACCCTGACCTTGGCCCATCCACCCTGACCCCGGCCCATCCACCCTGACTCTGGCCCATCCACCCTGCCTATGCCTTCCCAGTGCAGCAGGACGCTGGTATTTTTAGGTAGTCAGTTTCTGCTTATTTGAGACATGTGCTCTGTTTTGCAAGTGATTCTCTGCCAGGCCTGGATCTGAATGGCGATGGGCCGGTCCTCAGGAATCCTCCCTTTAGCACCCCAGGTAGCCTCTGGAGCTTCGTGCTCAGTCCTGCTTGACACCCCTGCCAATGCAGTCCTCTCTAGAGAAATGGGTAAAGCCCCCACCCCAACCCAAACACGCACTGTGTCTTCCCAGCTTGAGAAGATCTAAGGGAATTTCTGGATCCTCTCGAGGGTGACTAGAGAGGCTAATCTAATTTGGGGCATCTTCACAGCCCAGCAAACAACCAAGTCTCAGGAAGCCTCAGCTTCTCCATCTGGAAGAGGGGCATGATCACCCTAAGGGCTATGGATTCTCCAGGCACACGCCCCAGTGCCCACATGGGGACTTTGCTCTCCAGCACTCCCACCCATGAAGTGCCCTCCCCAGCTCCTGCCTTGTCCACCCTCCCCATTTCCATCCCTCTCCCTGTTCCCACATCTTTATCCCCCTGGAAGCAAAGGCAGACATCATTCCCCTTTGCCTGACCAAACCCTCCAGCTGCAGCCTTGGAGGATGGGGGATTCCTAGGTGTGACCTTGAGGCAGCCCCCGTCCTCTCTCGGCCTCTGCGACGTCACAGGGTAGGGCCTGAGGGTTGCCATGCTGCGGATCTCCAGGTTCCCTCCCCTGCCTCTCCTCCTTTCCTCATCCTCTGTTCTTCCTCCTCCCCCTCCTCCTCTTCCTTCCTCTCCTCCTGCAGCTCTGCGCTGTGCGTTGCCTTGGGGAGTGACTCACACTCGCCTCCCACCTACACTGCCAGCTTCCCAAACCTTCACTCCAAAGGGTCGCGGTGTGAGCAGATTTCAGCCTTCAGAGGCATCCAGGCTGGGGCGGGCGGCGCGGGTTCCCTGTAGGGCCGCGGTCTCCCCTGCTGCCTGCAGCCTGCAGCCAGGGAACCCAGCTGGGATCGGAGGTTTCCTGCTGTCCCACGGCCTGGGGAGAGAATCCAGCTCTGTTTTCTGATCTGAACTCACGGCGTGACCTTGAGCTGGTTCCTTTTCCTTTCTGGCCTCCCTTTCCCTGTGCAAACATGCTAGGCTGGAGCCGGGAGACCTTGGCTCTTTTTCCGTGTCCTCTCGGCCCCCACCCCTTTTCAGCACTGTATACTGACAGATTCTAGTTGTGTATATTGGTGGGGTACAAAGTGACGTCATGATTCTTGAATACAATGTGGAGTAAGTCGAGTGACTCCTGTGCTCGGGGAAGTAAGTCGGCCTCAGGAGGCATCCCTTTTCACCCTGGGGTGGGCAGGGCGCATGGAGAGGAGTCAGGGGAGGTTATGCAGGGGAGGCTGGGCCCAGTGGAGGCTGGCACCCTCCCCAGGAGCCCCTGGCCATGCGTGGACAGTGTTCCTCTGGTGCCCACCTGCTCCTGCTTCCCTCCCCCACTCTCAGCCCTGTGATTCAGGAAGAATTAAACTTGCCCTGGAAGATGTGATCCAGGCCACAGCCAATCACAGAGTCACATTCTCTTGGCTGTGGGATTGGTCGAGAGATGGGCATGTGACTCAGTGAGAGCCAATGAGAGGCAAGGAGTTTTGAATGGGCCTGGGGAGGAGGATGCTGCTCTGTGCTCTCTGGAGGCACGGAGTCTCCGCCCTGCACAGCACCCAGGCAAGGCCGGGGCACGGGGCCCATCTTCCAGCCAGAATTCCAAGGCAAATAGGATCTCACATTTGCTACTATTAGCTCAGCATCTACTATTACACAGCTGCAATTTCTCTGCATATATTTTAATTCTCACAACAGTTCTGCAGGGTGGGTATTATTGCCTGATCTACAGGACCAGAAAAGGGGGCTCAGGTCTGCCCACCCATGTCCCTTGGCCCCTGGCTGGCTCTGGTTGCACTGTCCACCCCCAGAGGTGGGGCTCAGACGCACATGCTGTGGGGGGGTCTCAATGCCAGCCAAGGGCCCCCAGCCTGGCCCCACTCCTGGACCTCCACCCCTGCTGGGACACACAGCCCCACATGGAGACCCACATCTTCACTGCATTGCTCTGGAAAGTGCTTTGGGTCCTGTGCATGTGTCTGGACTGGGTGAGATTCTTTGGCAGCTCCTCGACACCAGTCAGTGGGAGAGGAGACACTCAGCTCCATGATGGCGCTCACCAGAGGGCTCGTGGCAGCCCGGAGCTTGCCAGGGGGGTGGTGAGGCAAATCTGGGCTCCTGACTTTGGGCCTGGTGCAGAGGATACGGGTGTCTCCCACACAGGATAAAGTTGCCCATTCAGGTGCCTCGTGCTTGGTGGCATCCCACCTCAGTCCAGACTTCCCATTTTGTAGATGAGAAAAGCAGGAGTCAGAGAGGGGGCCTTACTTCCTTCAGGTCAAAATACTCATCAGAAGACCCTTCTGTGGTGTACAGGGCCTAGGGGCTTGTCTGGTGGCCCTTCCTCTTGGTGACATGTCCACCTCGGGTCTCTTTCTGTTTCCTGAGAGCACCCTGCTCTCTCCCAGTCCTCAGCCTTGCCCCTGTCTGTGTGTGGGATGCACTCCCTCCCCGCTACTCCTGGATGTCTCTGCTGTCTCAGCCCTCTGTGGACATGCCCTGCCCTCAGAGGGCCCTGCCCCACCCCTGCAGCCTGGACTCCCCCGTTGTCCTTCTGGGCTCCCTGCCCTGTCTGCCATGCGGCTGCTGAAATGTGCTCCTTTATGGGATCCGCGCCTCTCCCACAGACGGGAGGCTCCAGATGGGTGGAGATTGTATCTGTTTTGTTCACCTCTGACTTCCCAGCAGCCCACAGCAGATGTAGCTGCTCTGTGAGTCTTTATTGAACAGGGAGTAACAGCATGAATGAGAGGGGCAGATGCGGGTGACCCTTGGTGTGGGTGACTCTTGGTCTGTGTGACCCTGAACCTGGTGCCTTCTTGGTACTGCTGTCCCCACTTTACATCATGGCTGCCACAGGACTTGAGGGCTGCCGGGAGGACGCTGCTTTTGGGGATATCCAGGGCTGCAAGGCTTCCCAAGGCTGGGTCTCAGGGCTACATGTTCCCTATTCCTTGAGCAAGGGTTCTGCTGCATGTCCAGCACCCACCCTCGGAAATGCTGTGCATCCCGGGCAAGAGAGAGAACGAATCCATTGGCTGGTGGGAAGCCCCGGGGAGTGTCCTGCACTGACTTTTTCTCCTCCATTTTCTTTGTGCTTACAGTCAGTGAACACGAGGCAAGATGGGAGGGTTCTAGTGGAGGTCAGCTGCTGCGCCAGCTGCAGCAGGGCCAAGAGGGCAGCGAGGTGGACAGGGGCAGGCTGGGGGCCTGGTGCTGGGCAGAACCACAGGACACAGGTGTGTAGGATGGGAGGAACAGACGTCCCGGGGCTGAGCCTCTTCAGAAGGTCGGGGCAGACCAGCGTGCTTGGGTGGGAGTTCGGGGAGCGGCTCCAGGTGGGAGATCAGGCAGTGAAAATGATTTGGGGACAGAGTGGAGGGACTTGGCTTCCATCCAGAGAATGCTGCCTTCATTTCCAAGCTTCATTTCCTGTTTTTTGACACTGCACAAAGCCTTGGGGCCTGAGTGCGGGGCCCACATCAGCTCAGCCGTGCTGGTTCCATCTGCACTGGTCGCATAGAGACCACCTTTCTATTTCACCAGGCCAACATGAAGGCAGCAAGATGAACGAAGTCCACAGGTATGAAGTCTCTGCATGAGGTGGGGCCTTCTAGAGGCAGGTGCATTTCAGCTGAGCTAGGGAAGCTCTGTTTTAATAGAAAGACGAAGAAGATGGAGCCAAAAGACACGGACGCCAGGCCTCACTCTGCAGCCAGCTGCTGTCTGTTCTTCAGAAGTCACGGCACTGCCCAGGCCTTGGTTTCC